ATGTAATGTTTGTTACTGGTTTTCTGAATTGTTGGCTGTAAGGTCTTTTTTATGACTTTGTACTTTTGTGTTTTTATGATGTAAAGCAATTTGAACTTTTTGCTGCAATATTCTACACAACGATTGATAAAGCTTAATGAGATATATTATTACCATGTGCAGAAAGCTTTCTTTGACACAGCTGTAGACCCATTTTACACATGTTAAAACATGTGACAAAGAACCAATGAAGTATGAAGCACGGTTCGTTATCAGACCAAAACATTTTGCCCACATTTTGCTGACATCATGTCGCTGATTGAGTAGTAATACTGGCTGCTACGCCACCATTAATCCGTTCTCACACACACACATACACACAAAATAAAAACAATGTAAAGAATTGAGATCCAGTGACAGTTGGTGTGTCAATTATGTACAATGAGCTCTTTGTTAAGTTAAAAAAAATGAAAGACTTGAAGGAAGTTGTTATGCTTTCTGAGGTCAGATGAAAGATAGCTTTATCTAAACTGATCAGCAACAAATATTCTTTGTTGTCTCATTTTGATACAGAACAGGGAAAATAACACCGCACCCTGTTCTGGTTACCTGGAGCACAAACACAGCAGGTTTGACTTTATACCGCATGCCAAGGTTTTACTTTTACAGTGGGGAGAGCAAGGAAGTACACAGCTGATTTAGCAAGTTTTCCCGCTTACAAAGCATGCACAGGTCTTCAAATTTCATCACAGGTCCTCTTAACCCTTGTGCATGCGAGGACTGAGGCAAACGTAGAGGTCTGTGGCAAATGATACAAGTTTTATGTGTGTGAGGTCTGTTGGACCCCATTTCTAAACACATGGGTTAAACTGTGAGTGACAGAAACGAACACAAAAATCCAGAAAATCACATTGTATAATTTTAAAGTAATTGTCATTTTATTGCATGACACGAGTGTTTAATCAGCTGCCAACCAGTAAGTATTCTGGCTCTCACTGTAGGAATGAAAACACCAGAATCTGAATTTATTGGCCAAGTTTGTCCTCAAACGAGGAATCTGACTTGAGTTCCAATATCAGCATTCAGAAAGCATAAACTGATAGATAACCTGTAGAGAACAGCAGAGTTGCAAGCTAATACAAGGTGTCCATTGTTTATCAGAGAAACAGCCTGGGGGATGAAAAACGTCCTCTGTGACAGCAGGTTTTTCCAACTAGCTGTCTGTACTATTAGCATAAAGGCAAAAGATTAAAGTGTTTCATTGACATACCAGCTCACTGAAATATGTCACAGAACAAAGATCCTTTCAGACTTGGCAAACCTCAGCGAGAACTAAGATAGAATTTCCCAAGCAGATATTTATCCACTTGCAAATGTCTGTCATGAAATTGTATTTGTTGGTGGTGAGGATGGAGCCCACACCCTGGGACCCAGGATGTGGTGTAAATGAAGGTTTTAATGAAATCCAGAGCCCAAGATCCAGGCAGCACATGTGAGCAAAGGCAATAGCTCTGACACTGGTAGCAAATACACAAATGGAACAGGCAGAAACAGACACTGACATACGACATCTGACAGAGACCCAAAGAAGAAACAGGTGGGATTAAATGCACCTGTGTCAGGACACAGGACACAGCTGGGATCGATCAAGGGGTAGAAAAGACGACACAGGAACTGAATTGACTAGAAAACAAACAAAATTTCACATCCTCACAATATCCTTTGTTGTCTCATTTTGATAGAAACAAAAATAAATCTATCAAAATCTATCAGTGTTGAAATATATCTAACACTAAAGAATAACTAGACTTGGTGCCATAAGAAGGTCCTCGGGGGAGGGCGTCTTGCATGTTTTAGTTCATAATTGGATCCAGGTGGTTTGAAGGCCCAAGAAAAAACACTGACATAATGAGGTAGTTGTTGCCACCGCAGGGAGAGAACTAAAACATGTAGGATGTCAGCCCTTGAGGACCGACTTTGGGCACCACTGAAGGAGACTAGCAAAGAATGACATAGCTAGAAACACTAAGAACAACGGACTAAAAGGAAAACAGGAGTAAGGCAGATCTAATCAAATTAAGAACACAAAATAATAATGACACTGGAATCAAATCAAACTACCAAAACAACTCAACAACTCGGGATCATAAGAATAACGTTATAACATGATGTAAAGCTCAAAAAAGTTGAGTGTACATCATAAAGTTTAATAAGTTTAAGTAAATAATTTGCTTTTTATTGCATGACAATCTGATCATCTGCAAAAGAGTAAGAATTTCGGTTCTCGAAGGTCTGTTAGTTCTTCTTTAAGACGTTCTGTTCTCCACTCATTACCTGAACTAACTCTACATGTTTGAACTCTCAAACAAACTTCAATGTTTCTATAGTGGCCAAGGCCAGAGAGCTGTGTATGGACAGCTTACACAGCTCCGCATTGCAGAAGCTGACGTTAGAAACAAAGGGTGCAGAAGCTAAACTGCAGAAGCTAAACTGACATTAGCTTCTGCATTGCAGAAGCTAATGTCAGTTTACTGCTCGCTCAAGACAGACAGGCTGCCTGAAGACGTTTATGGCAGACTGTTTTTGCCATAAAAGTCTCCCACAACACAGACAAAGAGTCGCTAGATTTATCACTAGTTGATGTTCAGGAAAAAAGAAAAAAAAAAAGCTACTCGAGGAGACTGAAAAATCAATGAATATAGCGACAAAGTGGATAAGTTCAAATCTGTTATACATCTGGTTGAGAACTTTGTCAATGTCTGTTTATTTCTTCTCTTTTCTTTTCAAAACGAACAACCTTTTTCATTACCTTTCCATTTGAGAGAGACAGAATGCATTTTGTTTTAAAATACAAAAATATACCAAATTTCAGATAAGTTTAATTAGCTTTCAAAATAAAAAAATAATAATTTATAGTGCATTTTTTAGAAGAGGTGGCTAAAGAGGTTCTTTCAGCTTAAAAGGTTGCTGAGCCCGGATTTAGCATAAATTAGACCACATCAGTCCTACAAATGCAATCCAAGTTTCTGATAGCATGGAGATTAATTAGACCAACTGTATGCTGAACGGTTTACCAACAAACTGAAGAAGATGCACCATGAATCCTGACCAATAAAAGAATATAATCATGTCTGATTGCCACAGAAATTTAAACCCTTCTCTGTCATTTTCCAGCTATTAATAGCACTAATTTGCATTTGTATTTGCAGCATATTTAAATATCAAGTAAGCATGACAGTAAAGACTGGCACCTTTCTTTCATTTAATGCTAAGCTAAAATGATGGTTTATGTGTATGGCATGGGGGAAGGGGAAACACACCCCACTGAAAATTAAACAGGAATCGCAGTTTCAATAAGAGACTTTCTAACATCCTCCTTGCAAGAAGAAACAAGGAGGCATTATATAAATTTGAAAACCAGTGAAAACTGTTGTCTACGGACATAAACTCAGCAGCAACTGTATGAGCATATCCAAAATGAAACAAGAAAAAATTCTTTAGAAAAACTACAAACTTGGCAAAAGAAGTTTGTTTCTCTGCCCAAACTTCTCCAGGAAATGTTATGTTTAAAAATAGATTTAAACACAGAGAAAAAAGAAAAGGAAGTTTTCCTTCTTGTGTAAACACATTTACGAAACTCAAGAAATCATCATGTTACCAGCCTTTTTTATGCCTACATTTAGTCAAATCTATTTCCCAATCTTACGTCTGAAGCAGTGCAACAACAAAAGCAGCATCAAAGAAGTGCAGTGTAACTGAATGTGAGTAAGAGGCAGTCGGGTATTGGTGAAGGAGGGAGAGGAAGGCTATAAACGGCTCCAAATTGAAAAGCAAGTGCATTACCTTGGCAACAGCCCTAAGAGTCCCCAGAGCCAACATGCTGGAGTAGTCAAGCATGAGGCTATATCCCACAACACACTGTAGGTCTGAACTGCTTTGCTTAAACCCTGTTCTAGGCCATTCATTTTGGAATGTCCTACCCCTACTGGAATTTCCTTTCCCCGTGTTTGTAAATCATACACACCCTAAAGAACAACCAAGTCACATGGTGTTCAGTATATCTTGAAAGTGTGACTTTGCATTGGGTATTTTTTTATATTTGCATTTTTTGCTGATTCCAGCTACGTGCTATATAGATGTAAGGAAGTATGCGTTTACTCACAGTAGATCTGTATTTCGAAGTCTAGGATTTCGCTTTGTCCCTCAAAGGAGATGACACATTGGACCTTATTTCTGTTGATCTCTTTGGTGGGCTTTCCAAACAATGTGCTCACTGTGGTGGTTGTATCGCTGATTTGGAGAGTTGAGCTGTTTGTCCATCTCACTTTGTCTTTTAAACCATCATCAGTTTGCCACGAAATCGAGGCCGGTGGTTTGAATCCGGAAGCGGTGCAGGTCGCGAGAGGAACCTCTTTGTTTCCAAGAGTGGGTTGGGTACTCTCTACACTTCTTCGTTGAGGTACTGGGGTTGCAAGAAAAAAACAACACTTCTCTTAACTTCTGCACAAGCTCAACATCCAGAACATGGTTTTAAAAATTCAACTTACCACGGACAGTTAACTCTATTTTTATTGTAGGATATCCTGAGGGGAAAATGGAAAAGACGCAAGAGTAGATTCCAGTGTCCAACACGCTTGCATTAGATAGCTTGAGAGTCCCATTATGTTCAGCAAATGCCCCGATAAATTCAAATCTCCTGTCAGGCCCGTTAACGAGACGAGCGTCATCCTTTGTGATGGTAAAGAAATTGTCCAATTTCGGTTTTCCTTTCGTCTTTCTCTGCCATGAAATCTGTTCCACGTTGTCATTTTCTGATAACTTCTGTGTTAGCTTGCAGGGTAAGATGGTGGTACCTCCCTCGTCCACAGTGATGCTCCCATCTGCAACCTGCGCTGTAATAAAACATAAAAGTTAGGAACCTAAAATCTGCAGCAAAATAAAAGGCAACAATAAAGAATGTACGGATTTAAGGCCAAAATTATTCACATATAGTAATAACTCAGGGTTTCCCAAAGAAAACTTGCCCAGTGGTCAGGGTGGTGAGGCAGTTCACCGAGTTTTTTTTGTATTAAAAGACATTAAGTTGACACGAAATGTAAAATTGTTACAGGAAGACATCGCCAGTGAAATGCTATTTGGACCCACAAGTAGAGTCCTAAAAACAGCAAATCAAACAAATACACTTGAATATCAAATATTTGCACTTCTGTTTAATCCAAATTAAGTCAGCGGTTTGGAGCTAAACCTGTCTCATAATTCATAAATGCACAATACGAGATTCACACATGCAAACACAAATATATCTTGATTTATAAGCTGCTTCTGGCCTGTGAGTTGTGCTGCATTTGTGTGTGAATTTTGAGAATCCCCTGGGTTCTCAATCCACAAATGTCTTTTTTAAATAAATTGTCTATCTGATTGCAGTGGCTCCAAAAGGCCCACCAGGGCTTCAGGGGCCCCATAAATGCTAATATTTTAACACAGACAACAGATATAGATATGTAACATTTGTTTATTGAGCATATAAATGCGGCTAAATTTGATTTCATTCTTTCAGCATACATAAATGAAAAGATTTAAAATTGTTTAACATTTAAATTTAAGATTTTAAGGAGCTGGCAAGTTTACTTTGTAAAAGTTCAAAGAACGCTCTTCATTGATTGTTTAGTTACCACGGAAACAATCTGGTGCTGTCAGCTTTATCTTTTTGTTTGAGCTCTGTTTGTTCACAAATATATCTCAGTAAACTACAATTATCACCAATGTCTTTTTAGGCTGACCAATTAAACTACCCCACTTTCTCCCAGATTTCACTAAGTCCATGGCAAAATGCTGTTAGTGGTTCTTAGCAGGAAAAGGGGCCCCTAAATTAAATTCTGCTCAAGGCCCCATCGAGCCTTGAACCAGCCTGCACGATGAGATAAATCCACTGCACTGCACATCTCTGCTGGATACAGAAGGACAAAAGGAAGAAGTAATTTATGTGGTTTACTTCTTGCCCTTCTGTTGAGCTTATTTAATAAGATGGTTTGGTTGCCTAAGTTTTATGGGACAAGTTCTTCAGATCTCACTTTGGCTGACTAAGTGGACAAAGCATTTAATATGGTTTGATGCTTTGCGTAACTGGAAAAATACTCATAATATACTGATAAAATAAAACCAGTGTGATGAGCGACTACAAGAACGTAATTCTTTGTTGACAAAGATGAATCATTCTCACCGCTAGCTCAGGGCGGACCTCTGAAAGCGTGACTACAAGCTATATCATAGAGCTGCACAAGCAGAGAAGGAAGACTTAGATTTTTAATTATTTTCATTTAACCAAGGATTTTGCGACTTGTAGAAAACAAAACAGGTAGCTCTCAAAACAATATAGTAAATTGTCAATCTTGAATTGGTAAATGGCTTGTACTGCTGTAGCGATTTATCTTGTCCGGAGGGCTCCAAAGTCCTTCACAGTCATTTATCCATTCACGCACAAATTCACGCATTCACGCACAAATTCACACTCTGAATGGTGGTGAGCTACATTGTAAGCATAATTGCCCTGGAAATTCCCCTCTTGTTGCTTCTGACAGGAAGAGGGGCCCCTCTTGCTGGGGGACAAGAGGGGCCGTTAGAAGCAAGAGGGGCCCCTTGCTTCTAACGTTCTTCCTGTCAGACCGTTAGAAGCAATAATATATCTGTTTACATTTAAGTAAAAAAAAAAAAAAAGAAGCTATTGTCTAAAACTTTTTGTAGTAATCTCAATAATTAATGGGAAAAATCTTTAACAGCATTTCAGCAATTAAAGTATTCTTACAGCTGACCAGGTTTCTGGATGTTTCCACTGGTGTTTGGACAATTTATTTTGGTGACGAGTTCTAATTCTTTGAGATTGGAAGGCCACTTTCCTGTCAACATAATCTTTAGCTTCTTCCAAAGACTTTCACAAAAATGTTATCAGCATCAGTGTCATAACTGTGGAGTTTTCGTATTTCAGAACTATTTGCAGCTAATTTTTTAGACACTTAGCTGGGAAAAGATATGCACTTCCAGCAGTCCAACAATCCCAACCATGCAATTAAAGCTAAAAGGACATGCATAAGCACAAAGAATATCCATGCGTTAGAACAGCCCAGTAATAGCCCACACCTAAATATAACTTACAATCTCTGAAAATTCTTGAAAGGTGACGTTCTCTAGTTGTCTCTATTCAGTTAAATCAAGCTCAACCTAATCTGCAAAGATTCTGAGAGACATTTTAGAAGCCAAATAGGCCCAAATGTCAGTTTGTAGATGTGCAAAGCTGTCACAAATATACACCAATAGATTTGCAGCAGTAGCTGCAGTGAAATGGGATTCAAAGTGTTGAACAGAACAGTATTCACCTTTATATTTGTTTAAAAAAAAAAACAATGTATCAGTTCCTTCCACGTCACAAATTTGCACCACTTTGTGTAGAGTATAGGTCACAAAAGACAAGGGTACAATGTAATATTTTACAACGTGTCAAAATGCGAAAAAGTTCAAGGATGATGAATATTTTTGCAAGACATTGTGGCTCAATGTGACTTGTGAACACAGAATTGCATAACATGATAATTTTTCAGTCATAACTGTACAATTACTTGATTCAATTTGCATGCTGTTGTAAGGCTGCAACGTGTCTTTTTATTCGCTTCTATAATTTATTTCTCGGCGGTAGCTAAATGAAATCATTAAATATCAAAGAAAGCCTCCTGTTTTTACAGTTTCGTTAAATTGAGTCTACATCCGTCCTTATCACAAAGATGGAGACAGTCCAAGACAGACCTTTAACCGTCCATATGCACTTTAAACAGCTCGACGGTAAAAATAATAAAAAAAATAAAAATAAAGAGAGAGAGAGAGAGAAAAGAAACAAGAAGGAATTCGAAATATTCTCCAGTGCGTCAAAATGTAATAAGATTTAATGTTCAATCTAGCGTCGCTCCGTGCAGAATGTTTCTCTCGAAGCAGAAACGTGGTAAATTGCATTATGATAAATAAAGCGAATCTGTTACATTGGTTCTCTCTGTGAGAACTGAGGGCAAACATCGAGACATACTGCATCCACAAATTATGGCGAAATCAACATCACGTAGAGATGTAGCGCAAGAGTCACGGCGTTTTCTCCTCATGATTAAAGCCAATACAATGGACCTTCTGCGAACGGCAGCATCGACGCAACTAAAACACAATTCTCACTGTTCTTCCCAGAAAACATAAAGGCATGCTTTTAAAAACGTACATACCTCGCGCATCTCTGCTACAGACGAGCGCAAACATCAACAAAAAAAGCGTGTGGGACATTAAGACACCATATGGCAACGAAAAAGAGGCGAAAATCATCCAACCATTCAACCGTCTGCATTAAAGTGCGCCACTGCTGTGGAAGTGGAGGGGGCGTGGCCTTTTTTTCCACCTGGTACTGAATTCTTGTATTTATCTTTCGTCTGGTTTTCGTCTGGTTTTACCACCTTTCTGTCTACACCACCCCTTTATCCCAGCATCTTTATATATTTTTTGCATTAGAATACTGAATATTCATAAGGAAAACTTGACAAAACTCAAACAAGACGTCGTTTTGATGACACTAACATGCGTAGTACAAATTTTAAGCAAATGACACAATTTGCATATTATCATCCAGCTTCTGCGGCTCTTTTTATTTGGTTATACAAGAAGAGTGCCCAAAGTGCAGTTTGCAGCCCTTGAAATGATTTTGTCTTGCTCCAGAACTTGGTTCAAGGATGGTAAAAAAAAATGTGTAACTCATGTATGAGAAATTGAGTGTATTTTCTAAATAACTGTCAGCTCTTCACTGAGCACTATAAGATCAGCATCAGGCTATCTGGAAAAAGATGAAGCTGCAAACTGGATGAATCTATTTTACAGTTCATATCAAGTGCTGAAAAACTCAGCACTTGATCATTTGTAAAACTTACAATGAGAGACATTTTCATTTTCATAACAAACAAATTGGAAAAACACTGAATCAAACAATGAGGGAATAGCTTTTAACTTAAGTTGTCTTATTTACAGTAACACACTCCAGAGTGAGTGCCTGAGAGAAGCTCTTTGTCACACTCTCCACATATGTTTCTGCTAAAGGGACAGAGAGGGGCAAAAGGAGCAGGGACGAGTGCATTTCACACTTGAATAGATTGATGATATCTAGTACCTGGAAATCAGCATCGGTACTCAGCGGTACCGAATTTTGGTACTTTTGTGTGTGTTGTTTTTTAATAATGAGATTTTTTTATTATTTCTCAATAAAATTTAACTAATATAGACAACATCCTACTCTTTATATTGTAACATCACAGAAGTTTAGCAAATGTCTTTAAAGTAAAAACTCTTCAGAACAACTAACGCAGTGTTTTGTCTTACTAAATTTATTATAATCCAGCTCTTCCTGTTTGTCGTATGAATAAAATGTATTCTATTTTACAAATGGAACTTGAGGAATTACAAGTTATGAAGGTGAAGCAAACTTCGTTGCTGTGAAATACATGTACCGTTTCTCTTCTTTCCTTCTACAGTTCTTTTTCAAGAACACTAACATGCCATCTTTTTCTCAGATTAGAAGTGTTTCCACCACTGTCCTTGTACTTTGTGTCACAAATATTGCAATGAGTATAATTTTACGTCGCATTTTGAAAAGTGGAGTCATGCCTTTGAGCCTTTTTTTTATCGGCCATGCTTAGTTTGTTTACCGAACCAGTGGCTGCTGACATCAATAAGCTCTTGCGCCTGCTATGCTGCGTACAGGACAACCATGGAAAATCCCCCCATACTCTCTTCAATACGTCACAATGATGCGTTAAGGTACCGACAAAATTCGGTGAGTGGAACTCGGTACCCACTTGTAGAACAGACACACTGAGAACTGGAACACTGGACTCTTTAAACTACATTCTAGAGAAGTTTCTGTCACATAATGTATGACTCGGTGGTAGCCTAATATACAAAATATTCCTCAATTAACAAATAAATATTGCAGTGATCGAGCCTGCTGTTTTTACACCATTCCATTAAATACTGGCTTTTGCATATTTGCCTTCAGGAAAATGCTTAAAAATAAACATTATAAAAAGGCGCTTAACTGTAAATACCACAGTTAGTGCAGCACATTTTCCTGCTGCCATAGCACAACCATTGGAATTTACACACATAAAATCAAGCATAAATATCTACACTAATTGATCTATGATTTGACTATCAATAAGTGCTGTCATGACAAAAGGAGGGGTGTTCACTACCAGTTTCTAAGCCTGAAGTGTGTGTAACATGCATTCAGTTTTCAAATGTGCTGCAAATGAGATTCTTTTCAAGAAAGGCAAAGACAGGTTTTGTATTTGTACCCTCAGTCATTGTTTGAAATAAGCTTAATAAGGGAGAATATAATGTTCAAATATTTTATTGGTAGAACAATTGCTCAAAAGAAGGAGAGAAAAATAGCGATTGTTTTTCAGATAAATACAAAATCAAGACGTCTTATGGCGTAATCTGGAGGAGACTCTTTTTTTCGAATATTTCTAGAGGATAAGCCATATTTGAATAGGAACTCGAAAGAGATGAGATTTTCCTAATAGGCATCAGTTCAAGAGCTGCTCTTTGACTCACTTGCTGCAATGGCATCTATTGATAATGATTGATCAGAAGAATTCACACACTTGGTTGCAAGTTGTTACTTGGAGGCATATGCTTTTGTTTCATATTTTAAATGTTTTGCCGCTGCTTATGAACTGCTTATGAAAGCAATCAAGAAAATTTTAATAGTGATCTGAGAAAGTGTATTATCAATAAAATCCCACATTATTGTTTTTGTTTGTTTGTTTGGTTGGTTGGTTGGTTTTTTTGGGGGTAAGAAATGAGAAACTGCTACCATGATTTGCACAAAAGACTAAATGTCAGACACACCGAATTACATAATATCAAAGTATTATATCATCAATATTTTCCCATAAAAAGATGTAGTAAAATATTTACATAATTGTGAAGGTTGTACTCACTGTTGTGATCTGTGCTGTACACCATCTCCCTCTGCTGGCCGAAGGATCTCTCTTTCTGGCTGCTGGCGCTTTATATCTCGGAAACTGCCTGAGACACGTGATAAGAGCGCACTTCCGCTTTCACGTGATTTTTAATACGGGGGTGATATTCCGCTGCTTCAATCTCATTTTAATCAGTCGTCCTTATTTCCTCAGATTACGTGTCCGTGTAAGGCAAAACAGTTTTATTTATATCGCTTATGTTTTTATTGTTGGCCCTAATTTTATCTTTGATCACTGTTCTTTTTTTATTAATGTATAGTAACATAAACAAAATCGATTCTGCTTACATGAGAAAATCAGAGAAATATGAATCCTCATTTGAAAACCCAGTTTCTCCGCCTAGAAATACCTTTTTACCTTAAAAAAAATAATAATAATAAAAATGTATTTGGCATATTGTGATAGAAATACATTTTGGTAAAGTTAAAACAGTTATGAGCTCAGTTGAGGATACTGACCTATTTCTGTGTGCCTTTTCACACAATATCTTCATTGGTTCAAAATCAAATTGAGCTTCAAGTTGATGCTGCAGTGACAAGAGAAGATGTTTAATACGTCTTGAAATTTGATGAAAAATGTGGCTGCACTTGGCTATTTGTTGTCTGACATATGAGCTGATTGGTCCCGAGTCAGTTTGCAAGCGGGGTAGATTGTGTCAAATAAGATCTGCCTTTGGTCCATTGCATCATCGATGTTCGATATGAAGCAATGGAACATGACTGACTCTCCATGTGACATCAACACATAGCAGTGTTCAGCGGTTTGAGGCTGTGATGTTGAAGAAAAAGAAAGAAATATGTGAGAACATTTCAACTTGGTTCAGTTAAAAACATGCATCACAAACCCACAATTCTTTCTTGTAGCTGCAACGACAATACAGGTGGAAGAGCTGGATAAATATCAGAGGTGTTTTCGTTAAGTTGACCAGAAGGAGGTAAGAGACGGTCTGGAACTATTTTGCCCGCTTAAAATGTTGTTGTGGCCAATGTGTTAAAAAATGTAGGTGTTTAAATGTAGCAAAAAAAAAAAAAGTAGCTTTCAAGTATCACCCATGTTAAATATGTCCTGGTAACAGCTTCTGGTAACAGTTACATAAATATTTCATCCTTGATGTAAAGACTAGTTTGATGAACTGAAATAAAATAAATGCTTCTTGTAATTACCTGCAGTAAGTCTTCTTGTCCTGATGCACTGAGCATGCTTTAACAATGTCCTAGATGTTGAAGATCACCAATCACACACGATAACCGAAGCAGCCAGCAAACATTATGCAAGTCATTTCCTGCCTTTCAAGCAGTTGAAGTTTCACTACAGAACCACCATAACTACACAATTCTGTCTTTATTTTTCTTTGCTGCTGTTGGTTTTGTTCCACTGGCGTCTGCGGATCAGATCTGTGGAGAGGCTTCCTGTACTAGTTTACAAAATGCTGGGTGCTTGTAGGTTAGGCAAAGACTTAAGACTTGAATCGTGTTGCAAAGGAACAACCTGTACAGTTAAATTTTTTAAACTATGTTTTAGAAAGTGGAAATACCAGCGTGATGAGAAAATAGGTCTTTGTTTTATTCTATTGCAGTCCCATTTCATACATGTATAAATAAACAAAGAAAACAGCAAAAAAAAAAAAAAAAATCAAGTAAGCCATAATTTCCATGAAAGTACACAATCAAAACACACAATAAACAACAACATCCTCTGCAGTTTATGGATTCCCTGCATATTACTTTATTATATGCCAGGATGTTCAATTTAAAAAACAATAAATACATAACTGATATAAAATGTCTTTATAAAAAACACACACAAGTTGTACCTATTCAGACCTGCTGACCATGAAATATAAATTTAATGAAGCTGTACCACTGACAATGCAGCAGACCCTCAATAAGAAGCTGACAACAACATACTTGGTTGTTGTTTTTGTGCCTTGTGATTTGAACCCTTGAATATGAAGACAACCAAGTTGGTGGGAAAGGTCTACTTCTTGTCATCTTGTGTTTCTTCTGATTGTAAAGACAACATGTAATGTCCATCAAACGTTTATCTCTTTCTTCAAAGGCCTGGAACATGTCTCAGTTCAGAGATGGCCATAAATTGAATTCAGTCTCTCGATGTACATCCTCCTCTGCTGGGCGTTCCTCCAACAGTCTGGACTAGCTGGAAAATTGACCAGCTGGTAGATCTGCAGCATAAAGACAGAGTCAGAGTCATTGGGTTGTAGAGAAAAAGGTAGAAAGATTCAGAAAGCAGAAAACCTGGTCATTTACTCTCACAAATAGGAAAGGACAAACTACAGCCATGAGAAATAGTGAAGAAAACTGTGATTTTTAGCAGTAAATACTGCAATGGTTTGATGATAGTAGAGATGTTTATATGAAAGACGATTATGTGTGGTAGTTTTAGCAGTGGTTTGTGAAAATCATTTTTTTCTTTTTCTTTTTTCTTTTACCTGTTCTGGTTGAGACTGGGAATGCTGATGCTGGTTGTCGACTGGGCCTTGGTCTTGTCTTCCTCTCCCACTCTTTCTGCAGGGATAAACCAGGTAACATTAACATTCCTTCACATTTCTTTACACTCCCATAGTTTCACTTTGAGCCATATTTTATCCGCTTTGGAAAGTATTCACAGCACCTTGTGTTTTTTTTTTTTTTTTTTTTTTACATTACAGTCTTGTTCCAAGATGCTTTAAATGTCTCTTTTTTCCCTCAGAACTTGATACAAGAGACCCAAAGAAGCCAAAATGAATTAAGTTGTTTTTTTATTTAGCAAATACATAAAAAATAAAACTAAGAAAACGGATTTCCATAAATATTCATTACCTTTCCCTCAATAACATCTTGTTCTGCAGCTGTCTAGACATTCCTAGACCTGCTGAATTAGCAGGCATAGCTCAACAGTTGAATACTGATTCAAGTTTCGACAGGCTGAGTCACCCAAAAACATTCAGAGTTGTCCTGGTACCTTGAATATTTTCGCTGGATTCCCAAGGCGTTTCTGAGAAACTATCCTGACTAGTTTCCCAGATCCTGCCATAGAAAAACATGATGGTGCCACAACCATGCCTCATTGTAGAGATGGTATTGGCCCTGTGTTCAACAGTGTCTGGATTCCTCCAGACATGATGCATAACATTTATGCCACAGGGTTCAAAGTTTGTCCCACAGCATATTATTTCTAATGGTCTGAGAGCCTTTCTCAGCTGATAAAATGATGCAGAGAGGATTGTCAAATGGAAGTTTCTCCAATATCCAGAGTGCAAAGCTAGAGCTCTGACATACTGACCAAACGGTTCTTGATCTCTCTGACCTCGGCCTTTCTCACTCAGTTACTCAGTTTAGAGGGTCGGTCAGCTTCATCATCCATTAACGGATGATGAAGGTCGCTGTGTTCATTTTTCTGTAGGGGTCCGCACACAGGTTTTTTGCGTGTATGTTTTCTTTGACTGTGTGCTTGGTTTGTTCTCTTACATGAACTATTAACTGCAGGACAGCGTGTGTTTTCCGTATCTCATCCAATTGACTGAATTCATCACAGGTGGCCTCAAATTAAGCTGTAGAGACATCTCAACTGTGACCGTTTGAAGCTTCACAGCACAGGGTGAGAAAACCTAAGTATGTGTGATGTCAGTTTTTTAAGGTGTTTGATTCTTACTTACATATTTGTGCTCAAGACAGAATGAGTAAACTCTTCATAATCAGCAACAGCTAAATGTGTGCAATTAAAGCTGAAAGTTATTTGATCAAGATAAGCAGCACTGAAATTTAGAGTAAAAGCATTCTGAAACTATTTTTTTCTGTTTCCACACCTCTCAGAGATAAAAGGACCTGACTCAACTCTGGAAACAAATTCTGATGTTTAGTAAGAAGCCACTGCAAGCCTTTAGTTTCCTTAAAAAAGTTTGTATGAAAAAGTGCAGCCCTCTCTTTTATTTTTGGAAACAACACCCTCCTGAGTTATGTTCTTTAGGACTCTAGCTATAACTGGACGTGAGAAGCAAGACCACAGACTTAGCCCTTCAAAACAAAAATTAAGAACACAAGGACATAAACTGACTACACCCACACGGGCAAGAAAAGCATCGACCTGGTTTTTATCAACAAAGCAAGTTTGCACAAGAAGAGAAATGCCCCCTCCACATTTGTAGCAAAGAAACTAACTTGGCATTACAGCATGGATAGAAATAAGACTGGGATTTTTAACATACTCAACATGTTTTGATTTAATTTATGTCTCTGGGCTAATCTAATCGTTATTTTGTTGAGAGGTAAGCGTTGCGTCAAGACAGAGTTCTGAGTACCAACTAATGGTTTGTGGCAGAAGTCATAACAAATAACATTACCTTTGCATGACTCATAACTAGATTCCAGAGACAGACTCAAATATGTCACTCTATCAAACATCCCCTTTTTGTCCCGGTGCCACGTTTTGTCAAGACTCTGGGTTTTGGGTTGGGATGTTACTTGATGTAACATTTTGGTTAGATTTGTCTTGTTTTCCTTATTTCAGTCTCTCATAGTGTTTCTAGTTATGTTTATTTCTTACTTATTTTGTTACCCAAGTTTCAGTTGTTCTTATATGTCTTAGGTTATTTCTTTGCTTAGTCCTTCTAGTTACTCTAGCTCTGTGTTTCTTAGTTTTGATTATTTTTAGATCAGCCTTGTTTCTGTTCTTTCATAGTTTTCCCCTCATGTCGTTGTCTCTTTCTAGTTTATCATGTTGTCTTTAGTCTTAGTGTTTCTTTAGTGTTAGAATTATTTCCAGCTCCCTTGTATTTCCTTCCTCTCTCTTGTGTTCCTTGTGTATCTTCCCTGTTCCACCTTCTCCCAGCCCCTCAGCACGATTCCTACTCCAACTACTCACACCTGCAATCCTCTTCAATCCAGGTCCATTTTTTCCACTTTCTAACTCCTAGTATTTAAGTTCCTCTATTTCAGTCACAACTCGTCAGTCTGTCTTGTCACGTCCCTGTTTGTCCTCGTCATTCTGCCCTCTTCTCCCTTGTTCCCTATGTTGTCCTCGAGTCTTCTGTTTGGATTTGTTTTTCGGATTATTTTGTGCTCCCCTGGTCTTTCCACATTTTGTAAGTTTGTTTCTTTGGTTTGTCATTACACATCCACACCCTACTACGTCTCCTGCCTGCTGAATTTGGGTCCACACTGCAACACATGTCACATTTGTTAAAATACCAACAGATACAGAGCACATGACCAAAGAAGCAAC